CACCCGAGTGTCCACAATCTCTATGAGACAATTCATCATACACTTAGTCTACGCTCCTTCTTGGACTACGCCCTCTCGGATCTAAGGCGGGGATTGTGATCAGACTACAAGGTTTCTAGTAGCACCCCACTTTTCTTAAACCTTACTAACAGACTTAACCTTGAAAGATAAGCTAAGGCAGCGGAATAAACTTACTAAACAAGCTTAATAGAGGTGTCACTGCCACAATCACCCTTCACGGTAATTGCACAGGAAAAGGTTAACAAACTAAACCATTAAAGTCTTACTAACATTAAAGCAAACTAGGGGATAAGTCCCCGATATCCAGCACCATCAAAACAAAAGGGTAAGTCAACTACAAATCTAAAAAAAAAAACCATCAAGAGTTTAGACTACAACTAGCTATCTATGCTAATATAGTCTACCTCGTACTCTCTCACGAACTGGGTCCACCTGAAAGGGGTTAACAAACAACAAGTAGAAAACAAACCTGTTAGCACGAAGCTAAGTATAACGCCACTCAACCCTGTAAAGTACTACAGTATATACTTTTGGGAAACAATTTTCACATACACTTAGATGAAGTATTCTCAAACACTTAGGCAACATTTAAACATGCTCATCAGGGTTTCTATATGTTTGCAACCTAATTATCAAATAGGCATGCTTTCACAATTATTTAGCTTATCAACAAGCTCATACTTTCTCATACTTATCTTATCAATAATCTCATATCATCATATATCTCAGTAAGCAATCTCATGCTAACACATAACTCAATAAGCAATCTCGTGCTATCGTATATTCAATATGCAATCTCGTGCAATCATGTAATCTCTAAGCAATCTCATGCTATCATATACTCAACATGCAATCTCGTGCAATCATGTAATCTCTAAGCAATCTCATGCTATCATATACTCAACATGCAATCTCATGCAATCAACTTGATCATGCAATAAAATGAACATGATGCTTTAGTATAAGTGTAGATAGATATACATATACACTCTTTTATAAAAAGAATATTTTTTCTGTGGAGGTTTCTTAGAGTCACAATGACGCGCTTTTCACTTATTTTCTAGAGTCTCAATGACTCGCTTTCTTTAGAGTCACAATGACTCACTTTCTTGTACTCGTGGGCGATGTAGGAACTTCACCGTAGTGTGAATGGACCTATCCGGACTTGGCGTCTAGCCGGCCTAATACTCATCTCGCTCACAGAACCACTCTCTTGGTTCTTTTCTCAAACTCGGTGGAATCAGGTATCAAACTATCAGCGTGCACACCCCCTGACCAGGATTCCAAGCCTGGCGGACAGTTTCCAACCTAGTAACTCGGGAATATCGACCTCGTTACTTCATATCGGATCGCAATGTCCATTTCTTTCTTTACTTTCTCTTTTCACTGTTTCGTCGGTTCTATCCGATCTTATCTCTTTTCTTCAGAAAGGACATAGTCCTAACGGGCCTCCAAAAATACTACTTGTCTCAGATTAGATAGCATATAGATATATCTCATGCAACTTCTTTACTTATGCAAACCCATGCACATAACTTCTCAACAACTTCTCTTTTCTCACAAATTGGAAATCATTTATCATGCAACTACTCAATGCAACTAGATAATGATTTTCCAAAATAGATATAAGTTTTTGAAAATAGTATTTAGGCTCACACTGGCCACTTATGCACTTTTAAAAACATGGTATGCTCAAATATGCCCTTTACTGTAAAATATGCTTCAAAACTTCTTTCACTGTGAACTCTCAACAATTGCATAAACATGCTTATAAATCATAACTTAGCAAATCTTCTTTGGCAATACTTAGCAAGTATTCATCATGCACTTGAACTCAAAATACTCAACAAAACTCATTCACTGTAATCATGCTCTGTACAGTTTCAAACATTTAACACTCTTAGCAAAATTCTCAACAAGTCACAATAGACATTTTAGGCATGCTTTTCTAGCAAAACTTAACAAATAGAGTTCATGCTTCTTAGTCTAACAATCAAACTATTATCATGCTCTTCAAACAAATAACTAAGTCTGATGCTTCGCATTTCTATTCACTGTAAACATATTCAAACAACTTCTGTAGCATATTTTTTCACAAATTCCATCACAAATTACTCAATTCTACTCCGAATCCAATGAAATCAAATTCTACTCGTGTGTCGTGACGATCCCGAGTGCCCGAGCCTCAAGGGCCCGCGAGTCCCGATCGGAAACGACACGTAGTTGAGCCACAAGGGCCCGGCCACTGCACAGACTTTGCCTAGCGGGGCCAGTAGTGGGGCTTAAGGAGCCATGCCGCCTGGAACTGCCAAGCGGCAGCCTAGGGCCACGACTCTAGCCTGGAGCTGTGCCCTAGGCCCGCTCCTCCACGGGGCTTGCCAACGGTACCTGCCTAGGGCTGTTGGTTAGTCCCGTGTCTCATCTGGTGCACACTGTTTTGTGCACCAGTGAGTTTCTTCATCACCTGTTAGACAAAAACAGGCAACCAAACACTCTCAAATCATCAACAACACATCATATATCAACAATAGATCACTTAATAGCTCAAACACATCAACATTCTAGCATTTCTACCCATTTCAATCACTAAAATAGACTTCACAGAGTCTAGAAAGTTTATGGGAGTATACCTTTGTAGATTCCTCCTTTTTGCTAGGATTCCACCTTCTTCCCAAGCTCGCTACATCCTCATTCACCTCCTAAACATCTCAAACAAACCATACAACAACCTTAAAGACTAAGTTCTCAGAGAAGGGAGCTAGAAAGAATGAAAACTAGAAGGAAGATAGGTGAATGGATGAAAAAGAATGGTGAAATCTTACTGTGTTGCTTCTTGTTCTTGCAGAGCTCAAAATGTGGGAAGCCAAGAGAGGAATCAGGAGAAAACATTGGCTCACTATTCCTTTTATATGGGTGCAAAACCCTAGGAAGATACTCAATGATTGGTGGAGGATAAGGTGGTAATTTGGTGGTTGTCCTACAAGATCAGACAAGGGGTTTTGGATGATTGTGGTCTACCAAGCTTCATGGACCAAGGTCAAGAATCAAGATTTTAAAATAGTTTGGGGTTGAAAATGAATTTCCCAAAAATAATTTCTAGATGAACACTTGATTTAGACTTCTCAGATTTCTCCCGGTTTCACTCAGAATAGATTTTCAGTTCAAAACTTGGCACGCAATGTATCCGACAATTTAGGATTTTTGATTCAAATAATGTCCAAGCGTTGAATTTATTTAAAAGTGGCTCAAAATAATTTATCCAAACACCGATTTCAGCGCAAAAATTTTTATAGAATGAAAAATGATTATTTTGAAATTTCTTAAAACCGAATTTATAAAATTAAATTTTGAGTTGTCACAGTTATCCTAACCTCCACCATCTTTTGCCTAAGATTATGATCCTATATCATTTAAGAAATTGGGCTCCACTTCAAGAACACAATACAAATCATCCATCACAACATGAAATAGGCACAATCTCAACAATCACACTCCATCATTTAGATCAATTCACACTAATTAACAACATTGCGACAAAGTAGCAATCCTAACCCTAGATATTTAGCCACACATGATATTGGATTGAAAAAACCTAAATCTGAAGAATAGCATTGCAAGATGATGAAATTGAAAGATTAAAATGGAAAGATTACCTAGTGTAGCAAAAATGAGTGTACGAGTGTTTTATGTCGTCCTAAGGGGATTGGGGGTTATAGCAAGTAATATGTGACAATAAGAAACTAAGCACTAGAACCAGGAAATCAACAAGAAGCTAAGGAATTCATAACAATGTTAATGCTACAGTAACTAAACAAATAAGACAAACACATATTAACAAGATATAAACACAGAATAAAAAAATAGGACTCAAGCTAGAGAGCATTATCTTCTAGATACTTCAACAACCTATGTGATTAGGGAGAACAAATAATTAAGGAATCAAGTGTGAATACACATATGGAATTAGGGATAAAAAATAATCAAGAAATCATGTGAGAATAGGCAAATTATTGTGTGGACCAAGGTCCACACAATGTTATGTGGACCATAACAAAAAGTACATTTTTAATATAGTAAATGTACATTATTTTTGCACCGAATGTACATTATACAATATAATGTACACTCAGAACAAAAATATTGTACATTTCCTGAATACAATGTACATTATTTTTATACTGAATGTACATTATTTTACACTAGACAAAATATGGTCCACACAATAATGATGGGTGAGAATACACGTAGGTACCTATTGTGTATTTTTAATTCGGAAAGTAGACCTAGATCCACATAATAATTTGCCCGCGAATTGCGAAACTTTCAATAATGGCAATTTATATCCTACACCACGGCGCGCGTTGCACTGTGCGCCCAGATGCAAAACGACGTCGTTTTAATTTTTTTTTTTTTTGAAATTTCCCGCCCCAGTGAATGGCAGTAATTTTTTCTTTAAAAAAAATCCGTTGTTCAAAAATGTACATAATGTTATACTATAATACACATAATTGTATACATGAATGTACACAATTATATACCAAAATATACATACTCGTTTTAAAAGATAATACACATAATCTAACATAATACATAATAAATATAAACTTTTAACATAATACACATCAACTCTTAACATAATACACACAAATTTTCTGATTCGGATGTACATAATTGTATAAAAAGAATGTACATAATTGTATAAAAAATGTACATAACTGTATGAACAAATACACATAATCACAGCAACTTCCTACCGCGCCTCTTAAAATGACCCCAAAACGATGTCGTTTTGGGAGGCGCGCGGCGCACAGTGCTACGCGCGCCGTGGTGTAGGGTATAACGATTGTTCAATAATTGCATTTCTCTATTTTGGGCCAAAGGCAGAAATTTGGATAATGATTTAGCCCAGTCCACTACGAGAGTTTCTTTTCCAAAAGCCCATTAAAGTTTTATGAAAGCCCTTCAAAACTGACTCAGTTAGAGAGTCCGTTGTTCTCTCCGTTCTTTTATTTTCTTTCTTGAGACTTGAGCAAGGGGAAAAGCAGAAAAGGGTAAAAATATCGGTCACTTAGCATTCTCGATCTAGACGTTTCAGCGCATTCTCGATGATGAATGTAAGCTTTTGATGTTCTTCCAGATTATCTTTCATAGGAAATTATTGAAATTTGATTTCTGTTTTTACTAATATGATGATGTTCGCAGATGATGGATTCTACTACTCCGGCTCAGAGCAGCTTACTTGGTTCACAGAGCGATTCTCAAAGAACTCTGTACTTTTACTCAACCTCTTTATCTCTCGCTGTGTATATTTAAATATATTTATGTGTAGTACGTGTGTATGCTTTTTTGCCTAATGTGGTTGCAGATGATCTAGGGTTGTCCATATGTAGGAATCCTCGAAACATAAACTAATATTAAAAAGATCTCAAAATTTTCTCCTTCAACCAAAATATGTCAGCTGGAGCCGTGAATTGTTTTTTATTTTAAAAGAAAAGTAAAGATTTTGGTGAATTGAGGGAATTGCAAAGGCTAGGATTTTGGAATAGACAAGCGAGACCTATCTTGAGAATCATCCTTCTCTCTTTATTAATTATTATATGTTCTGTACTGAAAGGAACTATATTTTCTATTTCTCTGTGACTAGCTAAAGAGTGCCATCATCTCAGAAATTGTGTTAATCTGAATGTAAAATTGAGCAGCCTAAACACAATCGCACCTTGCAGAGTCTCACGCACTTATAAATTTCGTTTGATTGAACTCATTGTATTAAGTGCCTCTTGTCCTAGGGCAGTTAATTATTTGAGCCATTGCGTATTGTGTTTGGGTTTGATTTAGTTTGATTAATAAACAATTGTTTGTTAGCAATCAAACTCAGCTTAATTACTTGAATAATTTGTTGAGCTTTGATGCATATTCTACATTATATGTAAACCTTAAGTGTCCCATATAGAATGGGAGAGGAGTCCATTTCTTTGGAAACCATATTATTTGCCATTTTTCCAATGGGAGAGGAGTCCAATTTCAATGTCACATGTAAAACATAGCAAGAGAACAACTACTGAAGTTTATACTTGGTGAAACTAGTTGCAATGGGGGTCATGTATGCTTCCATAGTTGATTGTGCTTATCTTTCCATAGTTGATTGTGCTTTTCCCTCTGCTCAATTGCTGTGATTTTAACTCTTTCGGGTTTTGGTATAGGTACCCATATGTGACAGGCACTTCAGTGGTTGGCATTAAATACAAGGATGGTGTTCTTTTGGTTGCTGATATGGGAGGTAATGTTTTTTGGAATCAGTAATTTAGTTTCATATCACTTGGTTGTTATTAGCTATTGTATCAGGCTATGATTCATGATGATGCTGATTTTATGAGCTGCAAAAATAGATTATTTTATACTTGTTTCTCTGTTACTCTAGTTTTACTGCTCTCTTCTTGCATTGTCAGTTATGTATTTTGTGTTGTAGTATAGATTTATATAATATTAATGTCTAAAGATGAAAAATTTATACAACTGAATTTTTCTGATAAAATTGTAGAACTGATTTCCACCCCTTTCCAGCCATATGGGAAATATTGATCTTTCTTTCTTTGTTTTTGGTTTACAACTCAAATAAGTTTTAGCGTACTATAAAAGAAACACATGGCTATGAACTTTTGCGAATATTAGAGTTTTTGGATCTCAAATAATTGCTTAGGACATTTTTCTGACATCTTACTTAAACTTTGAAGGCCTAGCTATACATGTGATTTAACAGTGTTCCAAATTTGTTGATAATAGTTTTATATTTTTCATTTACAGGATCTTATGGATCCACTTTGCGTTACAAGAGTGTGGAGCGACTGAAGCCTGTTGGGAAACACTCCATTGTTGGTGCAAGTGGTGAGATTAGTGATTTCCAAGAGATCTTGCGCTACCTTGACGAGCTTATGTAAGTATCCTCTGTGTGTAATTAGTAACAAGCTAGGGGATTCTTCCACAATCATATATTTTGTTATTATTTTGTGGTTTATATACTTTATAATGGTCATTGGTTGTGTAATATTCTTTTCTTACTGAATTTTTGTTGCTTCCAACTCTTCATGGGTGCACAGCTTAAATGATAATATGTGGGATGATGGAAATTCATTGGGTCCCAAGGAAGTTCACAATTATCTTACCCGAGTTATGTATAATCGGCGCAATAAGTTCAACCCTCTTTGGAATTCCCTTATCCTTGGTGGTGTGAAAAACGGACAAAAGTATCTTGGAACGGTAAACCCTCAAATTACTTTCGTCTTTTGTGCATATATGTTTTTCATAGTCTCTTTTGGAACCAATTTTACTTTGTTTTATGTGGTGTTCTTAGGTAAATATGATTGGTGTGCATTATGAGGACAACCATATGGCTACTGGATTTGGGAATCACCTTGCACGACCCATTCTGCGTGAAGAATGGAATGAAAACTTGAGCTTTGAAGAAGGTGTCAAGTTACTGGAGAAATGCATGCGTGTGCTTTTGTACCGTGATAGGTCTGCTGTGAACAAGATTCAGGTATGTTGCTTTCTTAGATTTCCCAACTTCTTTTCTAAACAGTTGATGCAACAAAGTAGCAGTATCTTTCTAGAAAGGTAAGATATCCAGGAAGGTATTCTTCCTTGAAGATATATTTGTCTAAGATGTCTCTTTAAATCACTACATACAATTGTGTGATTGTGTCAGATTTCTTTTTCAACTTTAAATGTCATCCATTTGAAGTGAACAAAATTTATATACTGCTCTTAAATTTCTGTTAGTGTAGATGAGAGTAAGGTATGAAATTTGATGACATCTGAAATTGTATGGAATTGCAGATAGTGAAAATCACAGAAGAGGGTGCAACGTCTTTTCCACCATACTCATTAAAGACCTACTGGGGCTTCTCTGCTTTTGAGAATCCAACATCTGGTGCAGAAGGTTCATGGTAGGCACTAGCTCGATATGTTCTGCAGTCGAGTAAATGGGCACACTGGGAGTACCTTCGTTCTTCCGTGGTTTTACAATTACTGCATCTTTATTCAAACTATTATCTAATTAGGGAATATTGACTGTACCTGTATGCCGAGAACTGGTTATTTTATTGTCCTGCTTTTTTATGTTTGAATTGAAATCTAATGGAGTGATGTGCATTGTCTTTTATTGTGGATTTTTTTCCCCTCAAGTTTGCTCTTTGCTGCCATTGCGGATTCCGTCATTACATTGATTTTCCACCTTAACTTGAATGGTAGCTCTATATGAAAGTAGGGAAGGGTCTAGATAGGTTGTGTTCTTGGTTCTTTGTATTCTTACTGGAAAAAGGTCAAGCTTTTGAAATTGTAGCAATGGAGTAATTAGGTCAAATAAGACAAAATGATACTTATCAGGCTCTGTTTGGCAGATCTTATTTAGTAGTTTATAGCTTATTTTAAGCTACTAATAAAAGCTCTGTTTGGTAATGCTCTCAAAATAATCTCCTAACATAAAATAAGAGTTTATTTTGGAACGCTACCTAAGGTAGCATTTTAAAATATGCTCCTAGCTTCCTAACTTTTTTTCCATCTTTATCCTTATTATTTTAAAGAAATGACATAATTTAATCTTCTCAATTAAAACCTTTTTCTCTTCTCCTTTATCCGTAATTTTCACCACAATTATTATTATTATTATTATTATTATTATTATTATTATTATTATTATGAGATTTGCAACAATATTGCTACTTCAGTATGAGATGCTAGATCATTATTATGCTAATAGTTTTATTTCAAAATGGTAAATTTTAATATGTAAACAAATTAATTTAAATTTTAAGAAGATGTCCTTTTTAGTCAGAAAGCTAATTTTACCAAACACTTTCAATCATAACAGCTAGCTTAACAGTTCTTCAGTTTTCAGTTCCGAGCTTATAGCTTTTTAGCTTTCAGCTCATAGCTTATAGCTTTTCAGATAAGTTTGCCAAACAGAGCCATTGTAGATTTTGTAGTAAAATAATGGTCAAAGGTCTTATCTAGCAGTATCTCAAATAAGACAAAATAACAATTGTTATATTGTAGCCTTTGTAGTAAAATAATGATAAAAGTTTGTGTCTATTATATAATGATCAGTCTTTGTCGTGGCTTGGTTTTTTTTTTTTTTTTTTTTTTTTTTTGAATTACGAGAGGCTAAGCTTTAGCACTATCTAACTCTTATCTAGAGAATGTGACACGGGTATCTAAACTTTAAAAACAAAAACTAAAACATTGTAACTCAAAAATATTTGTTGGCATAGGCATTTCTGGCCTCATATATTATGGGAACATAATGCATGGACTCACAATCTGAGTTCTTAATGTAAATATTTTGAAAAATTTTTATTATTCTTTGACACATTAGAGTAAAATGAGCGAATAAAAGATTAAAAAGGCGTGCGTTGTAGAACTCTATATTATGTGAAGGAGCAATACAAAAGAATATAAAAATATTCATATTAAGTAGTCAATGACGCCAAACACTTTGTACTCATATGGTGACTCTTCCATGCAACGATGTCAACGAGCCTTAGTGGAGGTGATACCAACGATATTGAATCTTTGTGCTTTAGATAAAGACGATGTTGACTCTTTGTGCGTCAACAGATTGTGAAAATAAAGATAAACAGATACTACAATGTAATAAAATGTTATAAAGTCAGCAATATTCAAAAAAAAAAAAATAGTCAACGACAGAACCTGTTTAAAACATTATTTAGTGAATATTAGTGTGATGTGATCTGAATTTCACATATTACGGGGATGGATAAAAAAAATGGAATGAGAAAGGGGATTCAAAGATGGCGGCGTAAACAGAGGACTCAAAGTAGTATTAAAATTAATCATCCCGACGACCACAAATGGCCTGCTCATCAGATCAATAATATCTTGAAATGGGTTGTTTGTATTCCTATGTGTATGCCTTGGCTTTGCTTGGCAGCTTAACTACTGCTTTGCATTGCTTAGCCCATGAGACTCATCACTCTCACAAGAAACATAATAATGTTGCCCTCTTTGTGTTTGGGGACTCATTCTTTGATCCTGGCAACAATAACTACATCAATACTACCACTAATTTCCAGGCTAACTTTCCACCCTATGGTGAATCATATTTCAAGCACCCCACCGGCAGGTTTTCTGATGGTCGTCTCATGCCAGATTTTATTGGTACGCCTACCTTAACTATTCATCTTTAATTTTAGTGGGTGGTTTATTTTACTCTTTGTTCTTTTTACCCTTCCATATATACTTTTGATAATACAATTTGTTAACTTCTATGTTTGGTTACACAGCCCAGTTTGCCAAACTACCATTAATTCCGGCGTACTTCGGGACAGATCATCGGAGATTTATTAATGGAGTCAACTTTGCATCAGCCGGTGCCGGTAGCCTTGTCGAAACCTTTTCTGGCTTTGTGAGTGATGATGATGATATTCCATAAAATAAGCTATTTATTTTTAATTATGCGGGCATATAATGGATGTTAGCTGATAACTGTTAGCTGATTAGGTTAGCGAGTATAACTAGTTGATAACATTAGCTGATTGTAGAAAGATGTTTGGTAAATTAACGGTTAGCTGATAGCTGTTTGGTATAATTTATTTCTCAAAAAGCTAATTGAAAAAGTTGCTTTAAACAAATTTTTGAATTTTAGCATTTTAGAGTTACAAAAAGTTGATTAATCAAATACTTATATTGATTTTTTTAACCAAGTTAAAAAGTTAATAGTAGTTAAATAAGTTAAAATTGACGGATAGACTAACTATTTTACCAAACAGGACTATAATATGAAATGAACTATGGATATATAATAAAGTCTTATATGCATGAATCCATTTGTTGTTTAATTAGATGCTTGATCTTTATTTGATATTCTGCAGGTAATTGATCTGAAAACACAATTTGGGTATTTTAAGAAAGTGGCACAAGAATTGAAGAAGATGTCGGGGGACAAAGAATCAAAGACCCTCATATCCAATGCTGTGTACATGTTTAGTATTGGCAACAATGACTTAGCCTCCCCCTTTTTAAGAAATTCCACCATCCTTAATTCATATACTCGCCAGGAATATGTGGATATGGTTATTGGTAATCTCACTACTGTTATCAAGGTACAATTTAATTTATAGTTTGTCATCAAGTTTTAAAGTTTCATTTAACAAATATTATACACCGCAAGTGATTATGAATGAACACCGGATTTGGTCTTTCGGCTATTAGAATTTCCCCAATCACCACTTTAAACTTGCTCAATTTTGTCCCCATCTATGTAAATTTTACCTAAAATAGTCATTGGTCCAAATCAAAATAGTCATGATTGAGGATCATTTTGATTAACGATTGCATAGTTGAAGATAAATTGAACAAGTTTAGAAATCGAGAACCAAAATTGTAAAATCCTAATAGTCGAGGGACCAAATCGGATATTAACTCTAGTGCTTATTTATTTCAATCAATATAATGTAGAATATATACAAGGAAGGAGGAAGGAAATTTGTGGTTTTGTCTGTGGGACCTTTAGGTCGCAGCCCATCTGCCAGGGCCTTCAAGCTTCAACAGACGAATAATAGTGGCTATATGAAGGAACTCCATAACCTGGGGAAGATGCACAATAAGGCTTTACCCAAAAAGCTCAGCAAGCTGGAGAAGACATTACAAGGATTTAAGTATTCATATTTCGATTTCTTTACGTTTGCATCAAATGCAATTGACAATCCTTCGAAATATGGTTAGTGTGTCAATTAACTAACTCATCTTTTCCCTTGCCACTTGCTCAAAATTAAATGCTTATAAGATTTATGTTATTTGTATGGTTTAAGGTTTCAAAGAGACGAAGACAGCATGCTGCGGTAGTGGTCCTTTTAGAGGATTGGGTAGCTGTGGGGGTAAAAGGGGGCAACTAAAAGAGTATGAGTTATGCAAAGATGTTGGAGATTATTTGTTTTTTGATAATGGTCACCCTACTGAGAAGTCCAACCTCATGTCTGCTAGATTGCTTTGGAATGGAGACCACAATCTTGTCCACCCATACAACGTGAAATCCTTCTTCGAATTTGTCTAGCTTTCAATTACATTTGTATGCAAAAATGAAAATAAAACACAATATATAGATATTGTTGTATTATTATTATTATTATTACTAGTTTTTTAAGCGCATTTGCGCGATTAGGATAATGACCAATGTTTTTTTTTTTTGTTTTTTAAAAAATAATTTTTTTGTTTTTTAAAAAATAAGTACTTTAAAGTATATCAAGACAAGATTATATTGGAATTGTTCATGCATAAATAATTGAATGTTGAATTTGCGTATTTTAATAGGTAATTAAATATGTGATTCTAAGTTTACAAATGCAAGCTAATATAGTCAAGATTGATTATAATCGTCAATAAAATAATTGTATAGATATGGTTGAAACCAAATACGGGACATAAAGGAGACCAAATAAAAATTAGGGCATAAAATATTAAATACATACTAATATTTAAGAATATTAAATATATACTAATATTGAAGAGCCAACTGCTGATTACCAAACAAGGACATTGCGAGGTAGTTTCCCACTCTAATTTGTTGTGTGATTTGAACACTCTTTTTATCAATAAATCTCCCAAGTAGTTAATATGATTGGCTTACTTATATTTTTTTAAAACAATTATTATTATTATTATTATTATTATTTTTTTGAGAAAATTATTATTATTATTATTATTATTATTATTGTTAGTATTGTTATTATTATTATTATTATTATTATTATTATTATTATTATTATTATTATTATTATTATTATTATTATTATTATTATTATTATTATTATTATTATTATTATTATTATACCCTTAGGTCATTTTACCACCCATTGATATAATTCACTGGTCAAAAACGCTAACTGTTGATTATAATTCGCTGGTCAAATCCGCTAACGTTAACCTCTAACGGCTGATTGTCAAACAAGGACATTGCGGATAGTTCTTACTTGTCAAACAAGGACACCGCTAACGGCTGATTGTCAAACAAGGACATTGCGGATAGTTTTCACTTGTCAAACAAGGACATTGCGAATAGTTCTCACTTCAATTTGTTATGTGATTTGAATACTCTCTTTGTCAACAAATCTCTCAAGTAGTTAATATGATTGACTTTATTAACTA